AGATCTTTCTCAACTCTACACTAGCTCTCTCCGCATCCACTGGAGAAATCAGGATCCCTTATATAGCTTAAGGGAGCTCCCGATTACATTGGTATTGCGAGGAAGCGATCCTTCCCCTCTCTCTTCCCACTCACCAAGCACTCCGTCCTGGTCTCTCTAACCCCTTCCCAAGCCATCAAGGTGGAGGTCCTGCGCAGCCATGACTGAACTGTCTGTCGTGCGACATAACCTCGCAGCCAGGCTAGCTCGATAGGAACAGAATTGCAGTCATTTTATTTGTATGCTGCGCCTATCTAACAATTTATTCCTCATCGCCTCATGCCAACCGAACTGCAAATGCAATCAGCGGGATTATTTTTGTTTCTATCCAATTACAGAACCACAGATGGTTGACCCGGCTGTGATGCTGACGGAGCAGGCAGGCCTCGTGGCAGGGCTGCAAGGAGAGGTGCGACGCTTGGCGGAGTTCCAAGCTGCAGCTCCTGTGGCCGCGCACGAAGCCCTGCCGGTACCTCAGCCGGTACCCCAGAACCCCGAGCCGGTTGTGAACCGGGAGGTAACGGGGAGGCTTAAGCTTCCCCAACCCAAACCCTTTAACTTATGGTTCCTCCACTGTGGGCACAGTGGAGAACTTCTTGTTCGATTGTGAGAGGTATTTTTAGGGCATGCACATTCCAGCAGATGCTCAGGTGTTGTATGCGACCGGTCTGCTTGAGGGGGGTGCTAAGACTTGATGGCGCTTTATCTGTCAGCGCCTGGAGCGTACCCCCGAGCATGAGCTGTTGATGGACTGGTCGTATTTTCACGATGAGCTGATTGCGCGTTTTCGGGCTGTCAATGCCACTCGCCATGCGAGAGACAAGATGGCAAGCCTCAGACAGGAAGGCAGTGTCAGAACCTATGCTCACAAATTCCAGGAATTATCCATGCAGATCCCCAACGTCCACGACGAGGAGCTGCTCGACCGCTTCGTCCGGGGACTCAAGCCTCGCACACGCATGGAAGTTACCATGCGCGAGCCGAGCACCTTCGACGAAG